TATATATATATATATATACAAGAATCTGTATAATATTTAACAAACCATTAAGACATATTATTATGGGTTTAATATAATACAATGATGTTGGTTTTGTTTCTGCAGAACAAAGAGGATAAGCAATCAGTGAAAGATCAGATGGAAGGGGTTGTGGAAAAACTGTGGCGGGAACTGCAGCAGGTTTTACACCACTACAATGAGACCACCAAAGACAGATTCATCGCTACTGAGTCTCTGCAAATCAAGGATGAACAAAGTGCTAAAGAGATTGACACGCATAAAAAGCACATTCAGAAGTTGCAGGTCAGCAACAAAGTAGCTGACTACTTTGAAGAAGCATTTTTCCCCATGCTTCCAGCTGTGTTGTTTCATAGATTTTGATGATTTAAAATGTGAAAAATGTGTTGGAACATTTGCAGGAGTCTGTCTCTGCTCTGCGCTGTCAGCTGAGCTCCAGTCAAACCGGAGGAACAGCTCAGCAGCTTCATTCAGGCCGTGAAGAGCTCGCCCAGAAAGTTCAACATTTCAGAGTCCAGCTAGCTGAGGGCCAAACCATTCGGAGAAAGCAGCTCACCAAACTTACCATTCAAAGCAGCGATGCTACTAAAAAACTACAAGAGATCGTAGCCATCGTACGTTTATGCATCCACATTTTTCATCTTATTTCTTGTACATGTTTCATGTGAGGCATCAAAACCTCATAGAAAATGAGTAGAATTAAAGAATAGAATTACATTTATTATTATTATTTAAATACATTTTAATTCAAAATAAACAAAATTATAAAAAATTATAAAGCTATGTTTTTAAGAATATTAATATACTGTAATTATAGTATATTAGATCATAATATAATTTAAAATTCACCCATTCTCCTATATAATATAATATAATATAATATGTGACCCTGGGACCACAGAACCAGTGATAAGTGAGAGTTTTTTTACATTTAACTTTATACTGAATAAATAAGCATAAATAAGCTTTCCATTGATGTATGGTTTGGATAGGACAATATTTGAAAATCTGGAATCTGAGGGTGCAA